CCACCTCCCTTTCCACCAACCCCCACTCCCCCGCCCCCTGATTTCCCAACAATTGACGGGCCCTGAATTCTCTCCCTGGGACAAATAACAGTGACCTCACGGTGACCCAGAAAGCTGTACACAAAGTCAAACGGTTAAGAATGCCAAGACCTATCCTTCCTTTGTCAGTCATCTAAACACGTCTCATATCTCGCAGCAAAAAACAAACAAACAAACAAACAAACAAACTCAATATCAAGACAAAGATAAAAGGGGGGTTATCGATATAATGAGAAAGGCCAAGATTACACTTGTGAATGAATGGCTAAAGTATAATGCCCCGTCGTGTCGAGATATCAACAACCCTTATTGAACATGTAAAAAGTCACTAATTATACAATCCCAATCCTGTATGTTTTGGAAGCCCAACCCTTTATGCGTCAGAGCCTCGTAAAGTTTAGAGCCTTTTAGGAATAAGAAAACTGGCTCTAACCAAAACCGTTATGCTTTAGAACCTTAACCATAACAGTTATGCTTTAGAACCTTAACCATAACAGTTATGCTTTAGAACACCAAGTTTAACTTTTACGCTTTAAACCCTAACTCTAACCTTTATATTCTGGAACCTTAACTCTAACCTTCATACTGTTCTAGAGCCCTAACCATAACCTTTAGATTCTAGAACCCTAACCATAACCTTTAGATTCTAGAACCCTCAAAGTAAAGTTTATCGATAAGAGTAGGCTTCGGCCGCCACCCGGGCAAAATTAAAAATTTCCTACCAACTGAAAATATTAGGTGTGTCCCGCGCGCTCATATTATTATGACCTATGCAGTTGCGAGCGCCGTAAAACACTTTACAAAAACAAAAAAAAACAAAGTAAAGTTATATTCTAAAACCCTACGCATAACCTTTATCTTTTAGAACCCTAACCCTAACCTTTATATTTTATCTTTTAGAACCCTAACCATAACCTTTATATTTTATATTTTGGAACCCTAACCATAATCTTTATACTTTATAGTTTCAAACCCTAACTATAACTATTATGTTTTGGAACCCTAACCCTAACATTTATACTTTAGAACACTGACTCCAACATGTATGATTTAAAACCCGAACTATAATCTTTGCGTTTTAAATCCCTAACCCTGTCCTTCATGGTTTAGAACCCGAACCCTAACCACATTATGTTCTAGAACCCTAATCATAACTATAACCATATAGAAATTAGCAAGAAAACGGCTGTCAAAGTTTGATGCCTTCAAAATCTTGAGTGCCCTTGGAAACTGCAGATTTACTTCTTTTTTTTTTTCTTTTTTTTTTGGCGTGTGTGAGCCTTTTGATCAACGAATTTCTGTCAAATCCACACAGAAATGTGTTGTTGTTTGTTTTATGGATGTAAAGGATGTTGAGCTGAAGAAATAAAAAATCATCAAGAGAATTTACCCAACGGACGAACAAAAAAATTAAATGTAGATTTCTTCGACGTCACAAAAACGAGCGCCCGATTTTCCCACGTTTGGCACACATTACAGAAGAGACTATTAGCAAGGAACTACACGAAGGCAAGATGTGAGGGTAAAGGGTCAAGGGTGTATAACGAACAATGCGGACCGATAACATTAAGGAATTCACTGGCCTAAGTGTGACGGAGTGCATGACAGCAGATAGCGGCCGTAACACGCTGACGGGTCATTGCTCGTCAACAGATTTTCAGACAACCGAAAACAACTTACAGATCAGATCAAAAGTGAGACTTTTTCATATTGAGAGACATCCACCACCCACCACCTACCAAACCACCCACCACTCACCAATTAACCACCTAATAAACCACCCACCAC